CGGCCCGAGGGCCTGCTGCTGGCCACGCCGCGGGGCTGTGCGGCCACCGAGCCGCCGCGCCTGCTTCTCGCCGACTTCGGCCGAGCGCGCCCGCAGCACCCGGGGAGCCGGGGCGTCCACGCGCTGCCGCTGAGCCGCTTGGTCCACGCATTGCTCTCGGCCTCCTCCACCGCGCGCTGGGGCCCCGCCCCCGGACACGCCCCGGACGCGCGTTGGACTCCGCCCCCGGACACGTCCCGGGATGTGCGCTCGGACACACCTCTGGGCACGCCCCCGGACGCACTCGCGGGCACGTCCCTGGCCGCGGGCCTGGCGCACCTGGCGGCCCAGCTGCTCCGCCGGCGGCCCTCGGCGGCCTTAACTCGAGGCGCGCTGCAGGCTCTGCTCTGGGGACCCGGGCCTTCACTGCGCGCCCACGGGCCACCGCTGGGGTCCTGGCTGCAGGTGCGCCGCGCGCTGCTGGCCCTGCACTTGGCCGAACGGGCAGCGGGCGGGGAGGGGCCGGGCCTGGAGGAGTGGCTGTGCTGTGAATACCTTGCGGAAGCCACCGAGGACGCCCTGATGCGCGCCCTGGAGCTGCTGTGGGACTGAGGCCCTAGGCCTGCCCCAAGGTGGACAGGGCACTGGCCCTCCCCAAGAACAGATAACCCTTTCCTGCGCTGGGGCTGCTGCCCAGGGTTCCAGCAGTGTGGATGCCCCTTCTAATGCTGGGAGCTTGGGGCATCCCCCCAAAGGGCAGGTACACCCCTTTCAAGGAATGGGGCTCTCAGAGTGGACACCAATTACCAGGACCCCTTTTCCACTTCTAGGCCACACACACTGCCCAGCATCTCTGATGGGAGGTCAGGACCTTTCCCTTCAACAGAAGCCAAGGCCCCAACTGGGTGCAATGTTCACTTGTCTCCCTCAGAAATATGCACCCCTAGTCTTTCAGAGGGAGGGGGAGTGTACGTGGTGCAAAATTTTCCATTATCCCATAACCATCTGTCCCCACTCTCCACCTTCCCTGGCCTCCTGGCTGCTCCTTGAACACCCTATCAGGCGTCCTCAAACTACGGCCTGCGGGCCACATATAGCCTGCCGAGGACGTTTATCCAGCCCGCAGGGTGTTTTCGCTCCGTTTGTATTTTAACTTCAAAATATGTACAGTATGCATAGGAATGTTGTTTTTTTTAAACTATGGTCCCGCCCTGCAACGGGTCTGAGGGACAGTGAACAGGCCCCCTGTTTAGTAGTGCGGTTTCCCCTTCCAGAACACTGGAATCTCACTTCCTTAGGCTTACTCTACGAGCAATAGAGGCGCCTTCTCTCCTGGCAGCCATGTGGCCCCTCCCACCTGTAACTGCTCACCTTGCTTTCTGATGATGGGCTTGGGCCCGGCAAGGACTAGGCTTGTTCTGGCCTTTGGGGAGATTCTGGGTCTTGGTTTACACCTCTGATAAGGTCCTGGGGTGTCCTGCTGCCCTCCCCACAGTGGTGGCTAGGGTGTAGCTTCCTCTTTACTTGATCGGGCCACTCTCCTGCTCCAGCTCCTCCCGTGGCTGCCCAGTAAGGCTCTCAAGCCCTCTCCTGGACACCGTATCCCTGGAGGTGCTTTGTCAACTCCAAACCCTTACCCAAGTCGTTTCATCCAAGGGACAACAGTCTCCCACCTACTTCTATTCACCCCTCAACACCCCAGCTCCAATGTCCCGCTGTTCTCTGCCCTTGCCCATTGGCATCACTGGAGGGGAAGGGGGACTGGATCACACCTGGTGATATAGTTAAAGTAACACCAAATTGCTTATATTTGTGCAATTTCAGCAGAATTTTAAAAAAAGCCTCCCTGTCGTTAGGTATTAACAAGGAAAACATTTTTTGAAGCTCAACTTCCATGTACAATATACTTAGGAAGGCTAAAAGCCTGTACTGAAAGTTAATCCTTTGAAGCTTACAGACAAGTTCCAGAGGCGGCCTGGTGACACAGCGGCTAAAGCACTCAGTGGGAGGATGAGGCAGACGGAGTCTTAAGGAGTGCAGCCTTGGAAACCCACAAGAGCAGCTCTCCGTCCTGCAGGGCCACTGTGCCGTGGGACGACAGCATGAAGGCAGGGTTTGGGCAAGGAGCCCCAATCAGGGCAATTGTTTCACAGTCGAATCACAGTGATGCTGCCGGTCCTATGGTCTTGTCTTCATTGCCACAGGTGTCTACCATCCACTTAGCCAGGTTTCCTGGCGCGTGAGCCACAGTCCTGTGGCAAGTATGACATGTGAACCCGCACCAACTTTCTAGAATGAAAACCCCCAACTCTGCTACTGTGTGCATTCCAACCCCCTCGGCAGGCAATCTTATGCCTGAAGTGGAGCCACTTAGGTCTTCTCCAAGATATGTCCTGTCACGAGGAAAGACCTGCCTGGGAGTGAACTGAGAACGCCAAAGGTTCAACAGGACACTTGGGCAGTGCGTGCTCTCTGTGGGAAGCACGTGCTAACAGGTGAGGCGGGCTGCACGGCTGGAGAATGTGCCCATGCCTACGTGGCTAGATGGGGGTGCTGTAGCATCCTCTCAGCAAAACACGTCCCTACTTTTCTTCCAATGAGTAAATCACCAACCAGGAAAAGATCTAGCCGGCCCTCATCCAGAGGGCCTACAAGACCCACTGCTGTCCAGAAGTAGGGACACAGCCCCTCCTAGAACCTCAGGTACTCATTGCTGCCCCCCCCACCCCCAAGCAGGTCACCTGAATTCTAGGCCCCCATGAACAATGGATGTCACCCAGGGGCACCCTGGCCTGTGCTGGTTTCCTGTGTTCCACAGCCTTGACAGCAGAGGGGGCGGGGGCACAGGTCTCAGGTGGGCTGTCTCTATTGCAGGGGCAGCACAATAAGTACCACCTGTGGCTTGATTCTGTTGCTAACACCAAGGCGCCCCCTCCTGGACAGCCAGAATCAGCTCACACCAGTAACCAACAAGTAAAATAGAAACTTTTATTTAGAATTAAAGCAAATACTTCAGTATCACAAACACAATATTAAACTTCCAGGAATACACTGCTGATTTGGAGTGAGCGTTTATTTGCACAATTACAACATGCGGACACACCTGGGAAGAGGGGGCAGCTGGGGCACCCCAGCCCACCCACAGGGACTCAGCCGGTGGGCAAGGCCATCGGACTGGCCTGCCTCTGCAGATGGTGGGGCTGGCGGCAGCTCGGCTACTCCTCCTCTGAGGAGTCCCTCTCCAGCGTGTAGACCATGAAGCAGGCGTCGGGTCTCTTGGGGACAAGGGGATGCCCCGGTCTCACAATCTCAAAGCCCAGAAAGCTGAAGGTACGGAGCAAGGCGGCTGTGGGGAGAGACAGCCATCAGCCTTGTGTGCCCTCATCTCCATGCTGGCGGGGCAGTGTGTGAGGGCGGAAACCACCCCTCACACTCCAGGCCAGGGCTCCTACCTCTGTCATCTCTGTTCTTGTGGAAGCAAATGAAGACGTGATCCACGCGGAGCTGCTCCTCGGCAAACTCGAGGAGCACGGCGAGGCTGAGGGAAGCAGCATGGCACAGGAGATCAGACATGCCCCACCCCTGCCCTGGGGGACACCCTGCAGCAACCCTCCAGGGCCCTCACCTGTCTTTGCTCCCCTCGGGCAGGGCACCACCTGGCATCTCGATGTAGAGGCTGCCGCCGCTCAACACAGCCCTCCAGGTGACATGTTTGGACTCCGTGAGCCTGGACTGGACGTTAAGAATCCTGGTCTTGTCATTAGACGCTAGTTCCTCTGTTACTGTCAGCCGATTATCCTACAGGCGGCGACAGGGCACCCCAGGCCGTGGTGAGGGATCCCACCAGGCTCGGGGCCCAGTGGTCTCTCTGGGAACTGGGGTAGGGTGCCCGTACGGGTCAGCGTACTCACCGAGTAAAATAACTTGGCTGAAAGATTGTGATCCCTCTGACTATCCCCTCGCCCACCTGGGATCTTCAGGGGTGGGTGAGGGGCATCAGGAACACCACCGAGGCCCTGGACCCAGGTTACTACAGCAATTGAGGGGGAGCCTGGAACT